GGACCTGTTTTTTAGACTTAAGGACAGGCCAATTTTGGATAGCCTCTATTTTAGCCTGGAGAGGGTTGATGGTTCCTTCACCTACCTGGTATTGAAGGTAGGTCACCCTGTTTAGGTCTATTTGACACTTTCTAGCCTTAAGTGTCATTCCTGCCTCCCTTATGCACTGAAAAACAGCTCGGAGGTACTCTAGGTGTTCTGCCCATGAATCAGAGAATACGGCCACATCGTCCAGCTAGGCTACTGAAAATTCACCAAATCCAGCTAGCAGATTATCTACAAGTCATTGGAAGATTGCGGGTGCACTGTGCAGCCCAAAAGGGAGAATATTTAATTCATATAGCCCCACATGTGTAATGGAGATTGACTTTTCCTTGGCTGACTCATCCAGAGGTGCTTGCCGGTACCCCTTGCGTAAGTCTAAGGTGGACTTGAACAGGGTGCATTTGTTTCTCCAATAGCTCATCTGTGCATGATATTTGCTAGGTTTCTGGACAAGTTACAGCCTTTAGCTTACTGTAGTCCACCAAAAGCGATTTCTCCATCCGATTTGGGACCTAGGACTATTGGAGAGGCTCATGCACTGTGAGAGAGACAGATTACACCCATCCCTAGCATGTCCTTCATTTCCTTCTCTATAGCAATTTTGGCTGAAGGAGCCAGCTGGTAGGGTTGGGCTCTGTTTAGGTGAGTGTCACATGTGTTAAGGGAGTGGTATGCCCATTCCATCCATCCTAGGATGGCTGAAAAACATCAGTGTGAAGCTGGTGCGCAGCTTCTTGATCAGCTATCACTGCTCATGACCAACGCTCGTGGGGAGGATTATCTCTTTGATGCCATCCTTGCCTTTCCCTTTATAGTAAGCTCCTTCCGGTCTCTCTGCACCATCTTTCTCCTGGGCTGTGAACTGAATAAAAGAGCTCAAAGAATTAACATGATGTACCTTAGGCTTAAGATTAGAATCTGGGAATGCTATGAGGTAACTGTTCCTATGTACTCTCGGATCATGAACGGTGCATCTCACAATGCTTCCATCTTATTGGCCTGGAGCACCTTCAAGACAATGACCTGATCACTTACCTTGAAGGAACGCTCTCCGGCATGTTTATCATTCCAGGCTTTCAGTTCTTGATGAGCATCTTGCAGGTTTTCTTGAGCAAGGGCTAAAGAGTCTCTGCTGGTGTCTTGTAGTTTGTCTACAAAATCCAAAATGTTAGTCCCTGGAGAAGGTGTAATCCTCTCCCATTGCTGCTTCACTAATTGCAGTGGCCCCTTAACTTCTTGGCCATAAACAAGTTCAAAAGGGGAGACTCCCAAACCAGGGTGTGGTACAGTGTTGTAGGCAAACAGTAACTGCCGCCACACTAGGCTCCAATCACTGGAGTGGTTATTCACAAACTTGCATATTATGGCTTCCAAAGTTCCACTGAATTTCTCCACCAGGCCATTCATCTGGTAGTGGTAAGGGGTGGCAACCATTTGTCTGACCTCATGAGCTTCCCAAAGAAGTTTCATAGTTCCTGTCAGGAAATTAGTTCTTGAATCTTTAAGGATGTCTGAGGGCCAACCTACCTTGGCAAAAATATTGTTAGTGCCTAGAACAAGCTTTCGGCCTTTCTGCTTCCTCGAGCTACTGCTTCAGATAATTGAGGTGGCAAAAATCAATGCAAGTCAGTATATATTGTTTTCCTCTGGGTGTCCTTTTAGGGAAAGGACCCAGAATATCCACAGCTATATGTTGGAATAGAACATCTATTATAGGGAGTGGCTGGAGAGGTGCTTTGACCTGGTCTTAGGGCTTTCTCACCTGTTTGCACACCTCCTATGACCGGACAAAGATAGACATGTCTTTGCCAATCCTGTCCCAGTGAAATGACTTTCCCAATCAATCTTTGGGCCTCAGGATGGCCACTAGGGTCATCAAGGGCTAAGCTCAAGAACTTTACCCTGTATGTAGTTAGAACTACCATCTATCTCTGAGGAGGTCAGTACTCCTTTTGCCCACCAAAAAGAGGATCTTTGTACAAAAGTCCTCTTTCTACCATAAACTTGGACTTGTTACAACTGCTTCTGTCCCCACAAGGTTACTTCCCCTGGCCTCTCAGGACCATTCTTTTGTTCATCATCCCCACTCTGCATGTCTGCCATGGAGATGGACATCTGGGCATGATCTGGGGCTATTTTCACCTTGGTGTGCTGCTTTGGGAAAGTTGGTAGTTCCAGGACTACTGTGCTCCATTGCAAATGCATAAACTGGGCGGGTATTCTAGCCTACCTATCCAGTTGCCCTGAAAGCTACACCCCCCACCTCCAAAATAAACTGTTTGGTTTGAACTCTCTGGCTTTGCAGGTTGAACCTTCTGTGTGCCTGCAAACAGGAAAAAAGGTGTTCTTTTAAAATCCCAAGCTTTCTGCTCCTCATTCAAAATTATTCCCCCTCTGCCACCATGTCAAGGCTATTCCCCACTCTGGCACTCTGAGTGCAGAAGGTGGGGCCCCCGCAAAATACTTTTAAATAACCTGCCACTAAAGGCTTCTGTTTAAAAACTCCCCAAGGTCACCTTGGGTGGTACTCTGCCTCCATCCAAATACAAAAATCCCTTTGAGAGGCACTTGGGAATTTCTTCCTGTGGGATATTCCTAAACTCTTTAACCCTCCCTCTGGAGAGAGCTTGTAAACAAACTGAAATTGCTCAATAGTAGATCTTTCAGTCTGAGGCACCTGCACACAGAACCTCCTGACTTGTAGCACACAGGAATCAGATCATAGTCTTAAAAATGTGATTTTAGTAACAAAACAAAGAAGACATACTTGGTAAAATATGCTTGGTTGCTCGGTGTTACAGAGCAACTGAAAAAAGGTGGATTAAAACCACAGATAATTAATTGCGTTCCTGGGATTCAGTCTAAAAGTTACAATGTACAGGAGCAGAGGGAACATGAGCTCAGTGCAAAGGAGTCCAACAAACACAAAAATACAGAAAATAACTTGATTGCATCTGACTAAATATTCCCTATTTTACTTACATATCTGTTCTAAGGTTTAGTCCTTCCCTGAGCAAGGATATCACTGGAAATTCCGTGCCTTGTTCTTGGCTCATTCCTCTCTCCCAGCTCACCTCAGATCACACCAAAAACTGCAGTAGGAGGGTCCTGCTTCAATTAAAAAAAAAGTCACACACTTTTTTCACTGGTTTTCCTGGTTTCCTGCCAACACTTGCTGGGGACTCTCTATGATCCACTGTCTCTGGGTTTAACCCTTAAAGACAATGTAGTTAACTGAATGGCTGGGATGTCTAGAAAAGGGTAGCACTCATCACAAACATAAACCAACCTGTGCAGCCTAGTGCAAAATAACTTTCACAAGTGCCTTTTCCTATTACAGTGTCATTCAGATAACATGAATAAAATGACTTAAAATCTATGTGGTGAGTAGCCGGTCACATTTCAACCTCATGCTAAAGGTCTGACAGGAAAAACCTAAATGAGTGGTGACTTAACAACAGGGTTGGCCTTTAACAATCTGCAAAGGGGGGAATGGGTTAGCATTGTCTCACTCATGGACAGTTGTGCACATGATGAGAGGGAATGACACAGGATAGGGTATATTTTGACATGCCTGCTGGCAGGGGTGCATCTGAGGATGCAGAATACTCCCTCTCTCACCCCACATCAGTGATCAGCCCTCTATTTGTTAAGGGGTTGGGGATGAGCCTAATGCCTTACAACATATGTAAGTAAACAACAGAAATGTTAAAAAGCATTTTTTTTTGTAAATGTGTAACAGCTGAAATTTTCAGCCATTACAAGTTTACACTGGGGGTGGCTCTGTGAGAGCTGGTATGTGTGGGGAGCCAGCCTAAAAGCCAGTTCCCTGTGTGTACTGGCTCCTGCCTTCCCCACTGTGCTACTGCTTCTGATACACCAGCAGCAGTGTGGGGAGAGGTGACTCCCCAGGAGCTGGTGCTTGTGGGGAGTCTGCTTAAAATTTTGCTCCCTGTAAGTACCAGCTCCCGCCTGTTCTCCCCATCCCTATGCTACTGCATTTGATACAGTGGCAGCAGGGCAGGGGGAGGGGTCTTGTGTGTAACCATTAAGTAACTGTTTAACTGCGTACACTCTCACATCCCTTGTAAACGAGGGGATGAATTCCTGACTGATTGAAGCCCAGGGGAGTTTGACCATGGCCATTAATGGATCCAGCATTTCTACCCAAAGATGCTTGCCAAAGTAACAACAACCCTAATTCCCACCCTTTTCCCATTGCCCCTCTCTCCTGCTGTTGCTAGAAAAGGGTGGGATTTAAGGCTGTTGCTCCTTTGGCAAGCTGCTTGGGGTAGAAACCCTGGGCGAAATTCTGGCCCCATCGAAGTCCATAGCCAAATTCCAATCAGCAGTGTTCCCTCTAATTTTTTCCCATCCGTGCATGTGGAATACATTTCGTTATGCATTGACGCATGGGCAGATCTGCACTTCTAGTAGAGACTCATGCTGTGGGTGCCCTGTCAGCTGAGCAGCACCTTTCCTGGGTGGCTGCCCACGCACTGAGCCTACAGGGAATACTAGCAAGGGAGGCCAACTCTCACCCCTTCTTTACTTCTGTATGTACAACGTAGGGCACTCAGCGCCTGCCCCTGAGCCCAGGCTGGTGCGTGGGGTCGGGTGGAGCATGGTGGGGGAGCCTCGTAGCCCAGGGTGCCTCCGCCCAGCGGGAGACGCGCCAGACGGGACAAAGCCTTGTTGTTGGCTTGGTGGGGGTGGGTTGTGCAGCCTCGGGCTAATAATTCACCGCGCGCTCCGAAACCAGCGAGGCCGCGCTTTCCCAGCCACCGCCTGGCGCCCGCGGGGTGTTGCCCAAGCCCGGGACTTTACGGGAAGGCCAGCCCCCAGCCCGGCAGCATCACCCCGCCCGGGCCAATGGCCTGCGCGCCTGCCGCTTCCCCCGGACCCGCTCCCCGCCGGGGCGGAGCTGCTATAAGAGCCGCCGCCTGCCCCGCCGCCTCCCCACACTCGCCCCCCTCCTGCTGGCGGTTTGCTGCCTCCCCCGCCGTCTCTCCGCTCCCGTCGCCAGGAGCATGATCGTGGACAGCAGCAGCAGCAGCAGCTGGGAGGCGCCGGCCGACGGCGACTCCAGCTCCATGAGCAGCCCCCTCAACCTGGCTTTTTTCTATGGCGCCTCCCCCTACTCCAGCAGCGAAAGCAGCTGCTCGCCCGCTCCCTCCGCCCCGGGCTCGCCCGGCTCCGACTCGGAGCTGTCCGTCAGCAGCTGCGGGGGCGACGGCTGGAGGAGGGACTCCCTGGACAGCCCGCGCCATGCCCCGCAAGGTACGCGCGTCCCCCCCTCCCCTGGGCGCTGCCTGCTGCAGCCCTCCCCGGCCGCGCCGCTCCCCCTACAGGCTCTGGGAGGCGCGGAGCCTGCCCGCTTGGATAGTTAGCGCCGGCCGTAACGCGGGGCCCTGGCAGGGGCCCTACGGGGAGGCACGTCCACATTAGCCGAGGCAGCGGAGCGGAGCGGCGCTGGGCTGCCCTGTGTGCTCGCTGCTCTCCGCATTGCACGGGACGTGGGTGGCTGCAGCGCGCCCTTCCCAGGGAGAAGATGCCGGAGTAATTGTTCTAGAGGGGAAGGGAGCTGAGCGCTCTTCAACCCCACTGGAAACCCTAGACAGGACTATGTAGCACTTTAAAGACTAACAAGATGGTTTATTAGGTGATGAGCTTTCGTGGGCCAGACCCACTTCCTCGGATCAAATAGTGGAAGGAAATTGGCAAGACCATATATACCAAAGGATACAATCAAAAAAGTGAACACGTATAAAATTGACAAATCAGATTTTAGAACCAGACTAACATGGCTACATCTCTATTACTATTCTGGTTTGCTTAAGCCTCCTTCAGAAAGGGATTATAATGACTTGGTGGAAGGATGTATGATGGAAACGGCTTCCATCCAGGCCGGCGTTGCAGCGCCCCTAGTTCCAGCATCTATGGATATTGCTCAATGGTCAAATGCTCTGCTCACCCTTGCTTACCTCCCAGGCCTATTCTGCGGCTGGATTTGTCGTCTGATGAAAGTAGCTTATGCTCACTTAAAACCTAGACTCTAGATCTCAAAAGATTCAGATAGTTATGATTTGTGTGAGACCATGTGTAAATAGTGTCTTGTGGTGGTGGTCCCTTTTTTTCCTTCTGCTACTCCTTATTTTTGAAAAAAATTTGAAGTGAGGAGGGGAGAGAGGTGCTGGCACCGTCATTGCATAAAGCAAGCTGGTTACCACAAGGGATAGTTTGAAAAAGAATGCCTGGGAATTAATAACTGTTTTGAGAATTAAATATAGGCTAGGAAGAAAGTTTATTTAGAAAGACTGTCATATTTTGAAATTCACTTTCCAATGGGGGGGAAAGAACTATATTTTGCATTGGATGATTTCATTTTCTAGTCTAGTGCATCTTTTATAGGGAAAAAAATCCTGTGAGCTCAGCAGAGCATCCTCAGAAGCCTTTGCTTAATAGGGGATGAGGTCTTAGGGCTGCATTCTAATACCCTTTATCCATGGCAAGCAGCATCTTACTTAACAAATAATCCCATTGATTTCAGTGCGGAGTAAGGGTATCAAAAGCTAGCCCTAGGAGATTTGTGTATGTATCATCTGTATGTATTAGGATGTCAGCACAATCTGCCAACAGCCTTTTATGTACAGTGGCTTATTTAAATATAAGTCCTTTGAATATCTTTGCTCCACCATTGTAAGGTAGTACTCTATAATTATCTGCTATTTCTCTCTTTTCCCTCCCCCCTTCCCACCATGCAATAAACAATAGACTTTCCCCTCTGATTTGATTTGTATGTGGTTCAATTTAGTTTCCATGTAATTTCTGTTGAAAACATTTTAATCATATATGCATGACCATAAATATCTTGTCTTGTTGGTAATACCTTTTTTAAAAAGTAAAAATGTTATTTGTAGTTAGGGTTGACCTGTAAGCCTGTTTCCACTTCATATCTCCACTCAAAGGCTGTGTTTCTGGCTAGTCCTCTGGGGAAGGAAAGCTGGGGCTGCTGGACTGTGCTGGGATGAAGTGCTTTGAAGCCCACAGACTCATACTGGACCTCAGTAGTCCTGAGCCCTTTATTTCCTCTTCTGCTAGCCAGAGAAATTTGATCGCCCTTTAGACTTCAGTATATAGATTTTTATGTTAGACTGACTACGTAGTTTCCTTATCAGGTCACATAACTTCCTTTTGCAAGTCTGGATGCCTTAGGTCATCATTTCCTTTCCCACTTCTGTTTTTGTAGCTTCAAAACTGATTTAATTTTAAAGAGGATATGAGACTGAAGAGGTTAGGCAGGGACTGTCACAGTTGTATTGTACTTCTAACAAAGCAAGTCTTTTTTCCTTTTTAAAGCAGTAGTTTCAGCCAGTATGGAGATAACAAACACAAGTAATTCTCAAAATTGTTAGAGACAGTCCTACAGCATTTTGACATTGAATATATTTTTAATATGTAATGGATTGGGGCAAGGAGCTGTCTTTTTGTTCCTTGATTACGATGTGTTTTACTGGTTAACAAGCTGGAAATAATATAAGTGGGGTGTGTGGAAGACTCCAGATAAATAAAATTCAAACTGTTTATATTCTTCAGAATACATTGTCAGCCACTAAAGCATTTCAGAAATCAAAAGACGCTCTACATTTTCAGTTGAAAACAGTTTCGGCTTATTTTCCATTTGCTTCCTTGGATCAGGTTGTGCTAGTGCATTAATTTTGTTTGCTTTGTGTCTCAACAGCCGAACACCACATGGGGGGAGGAAAGCAGCACAGAGGACCTTTCCAAGGGGTACGTGTGAAAAATTCAGTCAAGGAGCTCCTATTGCACATTAGAAGCAGCAAACAGATGTCCTCAGGCCATGTTGCTGATGAATTCAAGGTAATTCAGTATTTTTGATGGGATGGGTCAAAGTTTGCTCTCGTGTAAGTGAATTTAGCTCTGACTGAGGAAGTACACTTGATAACACCAAATCAAATTTGTCTCCTTGCTGATGTCTATATGAGTGAAGGTATTTTTCTGTCCCAAAATAGGACAAGGGAAGAAATTGTGGTTGGAAGGGAATTGGGAACAAGCCGGAAGATGGTTTCGCTGTCTTGATAACTGAGACACATTTTGAAACTTCTTTCTTTAGAAATTCACCTAAATACCCACATTTGAAACTATGAAAACTCATTGTGCAGTCTGATACAGAATTCAGAAAGGGCTGAGGGAAAGCAGCAGTCTGAGAAACCAACTATTATTTAATTGCTTGTAAGAGCAGACAACCTGCTCAATGCTATACAGGACTCAAAAGTGATGGTTTTGTGTTCCATGATGTATCTGCAATCTAACAGACAGAAACTGAGGATAGGGGACATGCAGGGAAGCCCTGATAGAAGACTACCATATGAAGTGCCTTGATTTTTGTTTGATATGCCATAAGAAGTGAGTTTTGAGGAGCGATTCTCTTATGGAAAAGTCCTAAAGAATTTAATAGGGATGAAGCTGATAGAATTTTCTCTATGGAAACCTAAGAGCTCGTATGGGAATTTAATAGATTTTTTTTTTTTTTTGAACCATCCCATCAGATTTTATGGCCTGGATATAATTCTCTGTGTTCTATAAGAAGGTTTGAAAAGTCTATGGAAAGGTTATAATTTTCTCTAGATATTTGGTAGAATCCTTTTAAGAGTTGGCTTAAAAATAAAAGATTTTATTCCTTCATTCACCTAATCTAATGGAGATTAGAAAATGAAAATATAGTTGGGACATCGCCTTTTAGAGCTGTTTTGAGAGATGGGGTATAGTTAGTGTTTTCAGCTCTCTCTCTCTCTCTCTCTCTCTTTTATTAGTTTTTTTAAAAAAGAGCAGCTTTTAAATTGGCTTTGGTTTTTTTAATGTATTTATTTCCTATATAGGCACAACCAAGGCTGAACTACGAACAGTTTACAGGTACTAGTTCTTCTTTCATATGATTCTGTGAAATACTTGTATAAATATTTTAAAATATCTGTGAGGTAGATTACAAGAGTAACCTAAGCACTGACTGTAAAATGCATTTTTTTTTAACAGAGTTGAAGAACATACTTGCTCATAGTGGTAAAAGAAAGGCTCATGAGCCTTTCTCTGATGGACCCAGCTACAAAAGACCAGCTACTTTCCACTCTCACTTCTTGGTAAGTACTTTTATACTGTATTTAAGAATTTAATTGTGTTTTCACTTGGCTTGTGTAACAAATAGTCAGCTAAATAAATATTTTACATGTTTTAATTTTTCTCCAGACACCACCACAAACACCAACCTCTATGGATAACATGGAGGATGCTCATAAAAATGAACCAAAACATGATAACTCTTCTGACATGCTTCAAAACATTATGAATATTAAGAATGAGTCGAATCCTGTTTCTCTGCACACAGTGCAGGTCAGCTGGCTGAACACCATACCTAACCATAGCTCACCAAGGGAACAATATCAGGATATCCAAGGAGCACAGGCTTTCTCTCCGTCTGAGAAGTACCAAGCTTTCCCAGCCAATAGCCCCCAACAAATGTTGGATTCACCCCAGAATTATCAATTTTCTTCCTCACAGACACAGGATTTATCACAGAACTGTAATCAGGATTCATTACTGGAATACAGGCCATTTTCTGGAAATGACCAGTCCCCTACCTACCAACAGAATAATCTTGAAATCCACGAACTGCAGTATTGCCCAACCCAAAGTTTCGCATCTCTCTTGAATGATTCTGAAGGCTCAGAGAATATACTCAACTGTCTCCAGCCTCTGTCCACTGCCCATCAGCAATCTGATATCAACACCCACACTCAGAACTTTAGCCTAGCACCAAATAACAGCTGTAGTTCGCTTGGACACAGTTCATCTCTGGCTACTCTGAATGTTTCTCTACAACACCAGGGAATTGTCAGAAGCACGGCACAGCTGGGCAAGTCGTTCTTTCAGTGGCAAGTGGAACAGGAAGAAAACAAGCTGGCCAACATCTCTCAAGAGCAGATACTCACAAAAGACTGCGATGGTGACACGTGAGTACTGTTTATTTTACCACTGTAAATTAGAAATGTGTGGGTTGTTTATATTGACTGGTGCATGCTAAGAATGTGATGGCTTCTCCTAGCAAAATATAGGTGGTACAGTAATATTGCTGGTACCCAGTATTCCACGTGACTTTGAGTTTGTAATAGATCAGCCCTTATGAGAATTAAAACAAGCACAAATTGCATGCAGAATGGGGAATGCTTGCATCTTATATATCTTGCACTTGTATTTCTCTAATGCTATGTCCCCCATTTGTATAATTTTAATTCCCTGTATTTGTGCCCCTCCATGCAGATTCCTTCACATTGCTGTTGCCCAGGGCCGACGGGCTCTTTCCTATGTTCTTGCCAGAAAGATGGTTGCTCTGCAGATGTTGGATATTAAAGAACACAATGGCCAGGTGAGTTTCTCTGTCCAGCCTCTCATGAGTGCATCCAAATACTGAACATGTCCAAACTCTGAGCCAAGTGTGGTGTACTACTTGTTTAACCTTGAGGTCGAGCCTGTGTACCACCTTGGACAGTCACTAATCAGTGGACAACTCGGAGACAGTCGTGTTCTTGTAGCTGTTTGTCCTAGCTTTCCAGTGTCCACTAGTATTGCTTCATTAATTTTCTGTTGAGGATATTTTTAGTCCCCATTTCCTGGTAGGTAACACCTGACTAGTATGTTAACTTTATTTCTCAATATTTGCAGAGTGCCTTTCAGGTGGCTGTGGCGGCCAATCAGCATCTGATTGTCCAGGATCTGGTTAGCCTGGGAGCCCAAGTGAACACAACAGACTGCTGGGGTAGAACGCCATTGCATGTTTGTGCTGAGAAGGGTCATTCCCAAGTCCTCCAGGTAAGGGTCAGAAAGACTGAAGTTTTTCCCCTTTGCCGTCCTCCTAAAGCCTACTGGCTTTACAGTCTTGTATAAGCCTTCCCAGAAGATTCTGAAAACAGCCTGCCAAAGTATTATCAACACACTCCCAGAAATATTTCCCTTACATGAATGGCTGCTCCATGATTATCTAGAGTATGTTAGACCATTACTATAGAATCCTGCAGGTTCTTTATTTTAAAATAAAGGGAATGTTCTTCTTTTAATAAAACTTTTTTTTTCTTATTCCCAACACTCTTCCAACATTTATGTTTCTATAAATAATTTAGTTACCAGTATATCTTTGGGATTGAACTAATAAGTACTTCCTTCCCACTTTTTCAGGCAATCCAGAAAGGAGCTATTGGAAGTAGTCAGTATGTGGACTTGGAGGCGACCAACTATGATGGTGAGTAGCTACAAGTTTTTAATCCAGAATTGCTGGGTATGTTGTTGTGATTTGTAGCCACTGATACAAACGCTTTACTGGGCAAAAAGCAAATAAAGTTTGGAATGTCAATTTTTTTTCTTTCCCAACTGAAGATTGGTTTTGCTAAGAAAGGAGAACCTAGGCTGGTTTTCATCAAGAACTTGTTTTCTTACGTTATGCAGGACTTCCACATTTTGTAGGAAAAGAATGAACTTCTGGTGGATGAATGCTTAAAATGTACATCTGTCTAGTTTGAACATAATCACTCTGTCTGAGCACTGAGGAAAGAATAAAGAGCAAAGGCATTACCATTAACTCATCTGAACGCCTTTTAGATTGAAACGTGTCCTGTTAACAGTTTAGACTAGAGGATATTTTATAAGTCATTTGAAAATCAGTTCATCCATTACTCACTTGTTGAGAACATGTTAGTGTTTAACCTCTTCAGGGTCTGACCTCACTCAGAGCAGCACAGGGACAATGCCAACCCTGGTTTTAGTCAGGAAAGTGAAACTACAGCAGGGATCCATAAGTAGCCTGTCCAGTGGTACGTTACAGTTGGCTCATCTGATTTTATTTTTTAATCTTAAGGGTTGACAGCCTTGCACTGTGCAGTGCTGGCCCACAATGCCGTGGTGCATGAACTCCGGAACAGTCAGCCACCTCACTCACCTGAAGTTCAGGAGCTTCTGTTGAAAAACAAGAGCCTGGTAGACACCATCAAGACACTGATCCAAATGGGAACCTCTGTTGAAGCAAAAGTAAGTGCAAGAATTCCTTAACTATGGACTGACTGGTCTCTGAGGGTATGTCTCCACTATGGGATAAGGTTGAATTAAGATATGCAACTTCAACTTCAGCCATGCAATTAATGTAGCTGAAGTTGAAGTACCTTAACTTGACTTTTGGTGCTGTCCACACTGCAGAAAGTCAAAGGGAGAGAACGCTCCCTTTGACTTCCCTTACTCCTTGTGGAAGTGGGACTACTCTCAGTTGGAATTAGCGTGTCTTCACTAGACCCGCTCATTTGAACCATGGAAGATTGACAGCGGCAGCTTCAATCTTCTCTGCAGTGTAGGCATTCACTTGGAGAGTTCTCTCAGGGTAAAGAATTACTTGCCACATACTAAGTAGAGCTAATAATAATAATAACGAAAGGAATCAAAGCACAGAAGAACCTAATTTATGTGATTGGAATAAGAATATTACATTTATTCAGGTCAGAAAACACAAAGGATGCATGTTAGGAGAGGGGAGTGATAACTTACACTTTAGATGAACTAATTTTTTCTTGTGTTGGTAATTGTTTTTATGAAAAGGGAAAGCCCTAGCACGCAATCTCATATATCCATAATAACTAGGTACTAATTTTGCACCGACTATTAAAATTTGGATTTGAGTTAAATGCTGATCCTGTGTCCATTTCAAGTGTGTAGTGGGCCAATTTGAGAAGTTGGATCTCTCAGTAAAACTGTTAACACCAGTTCATGGTCTGACCCATTGTGTGTGCAAGTAGAATATTTACTTTAAAAATAATTAACTGTTTTCACTGGGATTAATTTTCAGTGTGTGCATGGAATTACAATACCGGGGGGGCGGGAAGATAGGCAGGTATTTTTTCCCTCCATTAATGTCTGTAATTTCCCATTTTTTAAAAATGTTCATCTATGTTATAGGCAATACTGATTTTTTTTTTTTTCCCCTTTCTTTTTGGATAGGATCGTAAAAGTGGCCGCTCAGCTTTGCATTTGGCAGCAGAAGAAGCCAACCTGGAGCTTATTCGTTTATTTTTGGATCAACCCAATTGCCTCTCTTTCGTTAATGCAAAGGTATGGTATCTATCTTGTATTCAGCAGCAGAGTATGTTGTTGTATGTCAATGGTATTGTGTGTGCACCCTAGTCCATAAACTTCCCTGTCCTTATTGCTATTACTCTTGCCTTTTCTAGGCATACAATGGCAACACAGCACTACATGTGGCTGCCAGCCTGCAGTATCGGGTGACTCAGTTGGATGCAGTTCGTCTGTTGATGCGGAAGGGAGCTGATCCGAGTGCTAGAAACTTGGAGAACGAGCAACCAGTTCACCTGGTTCCTGATGGCCCTGTAGGAGAACAGGTAAAAAACTCCAAAAATCATTCCATCCTTTTCCTGAGAATTGAACAGATACAAATCAATGACGGGTCCTTAAAAGCCTTCATACTCTTAAGTTCCAGGATGGGAGACCCAGCTATCAACACATTTCTGAGTTGACATAAGGAGGAGACTGTCCCTGATCTGTTTCCTAAAAGTGCAGAATAGTTTTCCCATTCTGAATGGGGCATTTGACTAATCCAATAGCCGTCCCCCCCCCCCTCATTAGAGCACTTTAATTGCTACATATTAAATAGAAAGCTTGAAGCAATTAGAAGTTAATTGCTCAGGGAGTCACAAAGCTAGTTGTGTAGATAGATAGTAATAGTTTGATCTTTGTTTCAGGAATGGTCATTGAATCTTCAGAAAGGTGACCTGTAACTTTTGTGTGTGTGTCTAGCAGTTTAGCTTCTCTCTGAATCACATAGGATTTTTTTTGTGTCCAATTTGTACCACTCTTAGGTTCTTATATACAACCGTCAATGGTTTCAGTAGGACCAAGATTTGGCCCAATTGATTACCCTGAACATTACCTTAAGAGTAATCTTTAAAAAATACATTTAAAATACCATTTTCTTTAAAAATCTAAATTTTGAGGTTCAGAATCATGTATGTTTAACATGTCAGATGCACAGAATTTTAGAAGTTACTTGTAGCATGTATTTTACCCTTCTATTGTAGAACAAATTTTTCACATCTTTTTTTCCCTCCCAGTGTCAAACTTTTAATAGCACATAATGCCCAATCGTGCTTAAGTGAATATGGATTGGATCTTGATTTATTATTTGTATTATGGTAACGCCATGAAACCCCAGTCAGGATTAGTACCCCACAGTGCTAGATGCTCATACCTGCTTAAACTGCAAGTTCTTATTTAAGTAATTCTGACCTCATTTACAGTAATCATTTAACTTCGGAAACTTCACTGAAGTGAATGGGCTCAGACAGACTCTAGGTTGTAGACAAGAAAAAGGGATACTGGTTTAGGTTTGCTAGATCTTGTTTCTGATCTTAGTAGAATTCAGTATGGGAGGATGCATATTAATCTTGGTGTGTTTCTCTTTCAGATACGACGTATCCTGAAGGGCAAGGCGGCTCAGCAAAGAGCTTCACCATATTAAACTCCATGTGTCTTGGAGTTCAGTACACTCACTGTCAGTTAGGCAGTCCTAATGAATCTGTAAATAGACCATTTGCCCAGTATAGGCAAATGTGAGTTGTTTCTATGAAACAAAAGTATTTAGTTCACTATCATATAGTGGGTTATGTTAACAAAATTCAAATTCCTTTGAACAGATGGGAATGTTCTATACCAGGTGTCTGGATACCTGGGTTTAATAGCTATGATAAGCTGACTTATTTAAACAGTTTAACTAGTTCTGGGGCAAGGATGATTGTATTGAAGGTTTATTTTTGTATTTAGATAGGCATGAGATCAATGGCAACAATATTAAGTTTTGTTTTTTAATCAAAATATTAACTTACAGAAAAAATTAATTAACTGTAGAATCCAAAAGAATATTTATATTCCTCAGTATCTTTTTTCCAGTGTCTTAAGCAGTGCTGTATATAAATCAGTAGCATTATCCTGCTGCGCCATATTTTTAATAAATTAACTGAAAAGGGACAAGTGTTTCAAATGTTGAACTTTGTGTTGTAGATTGCACACTGAATTCTAATACTATGTTTGTACAAATCAGATGAATATAATTGTGTATGACTTTGGGGACAAAGGCTGCAGTGAAACTGAATTGTCACTGACGCTTATTTGTATATATCCATTGTAGTTATTAACAGAAAATGAAATTCAATAATTAAATTATAAGCTTGATCCTACTTCAATGAAATCAGTTGGGACCATTTCAGACCCTGTTGCATGCACCAGCACAAGGACTTTTTTCCCATCTTATCAGTGGATTAAGTGGGAGAAATCTACTCCTGTTTTCCTCAACATTCTTTTGTGAATATGGCTGTGATTCAGCCATGTACATAGGCTTAACACTCTCCCTGGTGAGTGAAGTACTTACATATTATCATACACCCCTCACTGATTTCAATTTATGTATTTTGCTGAATCAAGCCCTATATATTGACATAGAATAGAAAACGCTTTCCACACTTTCAACTGTTAGTCCCATGTTTTTTACCTTTTGTAAGCATAATGGGTAGTCAAGTTATATTTGAAGCTGACATTGTTTTATTTAAGAATAATGACTATTTTATTACTAATGTTGTATAGACATGGCCTGTTGAAGAGCATTTCATGTTTCCAAAGTGATCCAGTGTGCATAATAATCTAGTTTATTCTGATATTCTGTTTTGTAACTGTTCTTGCATCATATGAAATTCTCCTCTTCCAGAGCCATGTAACTAATCTAGGATAATCTGATCACATTGTTTGTCTGACACAGTATGTCTTGTAGACAAGTTAATTGGATAAATCTGATATCCTCAAATGTAGCTGAGATGCATATTCACTAAATTCTCATGTACAGTTTCAAATAAATCTGTTAATCCAAAAATCTTGGGTCTGGTGTATTTGTTACAAATAACTTTTTGTCTTGATTAAAATATTTTGATTTCTTCCTGGTACACTCTACTGTTAGTGATGGGATCTAGGAGGGCTATTCATTTAACAGATTGTTTTAACACAATACTTCAACTGTCACTCAAGTGACCAATCCTTCCTATCATGCAAGTAGCTCTTCTACATTTACACTCCATTAAGCTATGGCACCTTAGCCAGCCTCCTGCCTCCTCTGGACCTTTCTACCTGATGCTCCATCTTCTTTCTTCCCCATGGCTCCTGTTTGGATCAAAAGTTGGATTTGATTCCACTCATACCAGCTGCATTGTCCATACTGAGAAGTTCTAGCAGATTTGTCCCAGTTACATCAGATTGCTGTTTAGGGCAAAGTGCTTTTGCCTGCATCAGGAAGTGGGGCCTCTTGCAAGGCAGATGCTGCTCCACTTGATGGGATTGAGGATGTAGGAGGAGGCAAAGTATGAAGCAGTGGGAAAGCAAATCTGTCAGCTGTTGAGATTTCTAGTGGGGTCAAATTCACAGCTGATACCAGTCTGCTGAACTCAATGAAGTTGCACCTGGTTAAGCTGATGAACTTAGCCTAGAATTTCCTAGTCACAAGTGTTTTTGTAGGGGAAGTGTGTGCGCTTAGTCTGATCTATGTACATATTGGCATAATGGCTGTGTCTAGACTGGCAAGTTTTTCTGCAAAATCATCTTGCTTTTGCGGAAAAACTTGCCAGCTGTCTACACTGGCTGCTTGAATTTCCGCAAGAACACTGACAATCTCATGTAAGATCATCAGTGTTCTTGTGGAAATACTGTGCTGCTCCCGCTTGGACAAAAGCCCTCTTGCGCAAATCATTTGTGCAAGAGGGCTAGTGTAGACTGCACAGTACTGTTTTCCGCAAAAAAGCCCCGATGACTAAAATGGCGATCAGGGCTTTTTTGCGCAAAAGCGTGTCTAGATTGGCACGGATGCTTTTCCACAAAAAGTGCTTTTCTGGAAAATCATGCCAGTGTAGATGTAGCCAGTGTGTATTCAGATCTTCCAGTGGAATATATAGGTTTCACAGCTGATAATTTGATTTGGGAGAGAGAGAGAGGACTTTTATCTGTGAAGATACTGCTCCTCTTCAGTGCCACTTAATACAGATATTCTGTAGGTTAAGACCATATATCTGAATTGGGGGAAGCTCTTTGAGGACATATTAGCTGCCTCACCCAGCAAGGGAACAAAGCACTTTGAACTTAAGAGGATACTATGTAGGTATAGTAAGTGCTTGAGTAAAAGGCCAGCGCTGCAGATGGCCCATCAAAAACCTTGGTCAGAAAACCCTCAAGTTCAGTTTGATACAACTTTACACTGTACCTAAAACAATGTCATTTTCTCCTAAGGCTTAATATATAATTTAACTAAGTCCTAAATACTATTTTTTTTCTTGGTAAAGATTTTAATGCATCAGACATACTATGTGGTGGATGAATATTAAGAGTTTCTCCTTCTTATTGAAGTAAGGAACTTTAGGAATTGACTTAGATAGCAGGTGGGCAACTGTCATGGTGTGTGCTCCCCACTGTGCCTCAGTGACCCACTGACTGGCTTCTTCTAGCCCATCTCCAGGCAAGCTACAGTCTATACAGGCTGCTCATCACTGGCACTGGGGTATATCTGCTACCCCGCTTACCTTGGCTGTGTTGCTACCACCCTCCAAGCCCAGGCCTTGCCTCAAGCCCCCAGCCAGGGAGGGCCTTAGCTATCACTCGCCTAACCACCCCAATACTGTTCTCCCTCCTGGGAGCCTCCTGCTTCCTCTGCTGCCAGCTCTTCACTGCTCTTCCCCCCCCCAAAGCAAACTGTGCTTCTTTATATATCCCTCAGCTGGGCTCTCATTAGCCCTAACAGCCTCAGCTGGGTCTTTGCTTTCAGCCCCTGCTCCAGGCCTGAGTTTTGCCCTTAAAGGGCCAGTGCAGGGCAGGCACCCTGTCACAGCAATATTTGCCTGAAATCCTATACTCTGTGGCTACGTCTAGACTGGCATGATTTTCTGGAAATGCTTTTAATGGAAAAGTTTTCTGTTAAAAGCATTTTTGGAAAAGAGCGTCTAGATTGGCACGGATGCTTTTCCGCAAAAGCACTTTTTGCGGAAAAGCTTCCGTGGCCAATCTAGACGCGCTTTTGCGCAAAAAAGCCCCAATCACTATTTTCGTGATCGGGGCACTTTTGCACAAAACAAATCTCAGCTGTCTATACTGGCCCTTTTGCGCAAAAGTTTTGTGCAAAAGGGACTTTTGCCCGAACGGGAGCAGCATAGTATTTCCGCAAGAACACTGACAATCTTACATGAGATCGTCAGTGCTTTTGCGGAAATTCAAGTGGCCAGTGTAGACAGCTGGGAAGTTTTTCTGGAAAAGTGGCTGATTTTTCTGGAAAAACTGGCCAGTCTAGACACAGCCTGTTAGCAGATGTTGATGTTGCTAGTAAAGGGTTAAGGTAGGGTTTGACTCATTCACTGGTACAGGTGCCATATCTCACATGGATAATAATGAAGGTGAGAGAGAGGCTTTAGGATGGGGATTGAACACTGCTAAGAAAGGAATGCTAGCAAATTTGGAGAGAAGGATGGATCTAAACTGTATCCCCATATTGTTGGTTTCTTTTGGCTAACAAAGCAAAATGCCAGGAAAGGAGTGAATTTGGACTCGTGGGCTATCCGGTAAGCACAAGTTTGGGAAACTTGGTTGCTCATAATGTTCTAGAAGTAGGATGCTTTTAAGCATTGGAAGAGAAGCATTTCCCACCTAAACTGGTTATGTATCCGCTATACAGCAGTGGTAACTTCAAAATGGATGTTTTATTCCTTTGGCATAGACAACACACTAATCTGGTTGCCTATGTTTATGCTAACCAACAAAATCTTGGAGAAAGGAAGAGCTAGCTGATGATGGGCAGAGCAGTACTGAAAACAAGGTGTATGAGCGGAGACAATTCCTGCATTTAAATATCTAGTGAATTGACTTGGCCTGTCAGGTTATTCAAACAATCCCTTTTCACCTCAGACCAAGTATGCCTAAAGGTAGTATTAAAACCTTTCCCACTTGGTCAGACATTGGTGCCTTTATAAACTATTTCCAGTACCTCAAACACTCATTTTTTACTTTGACTTGAGTAAATATCCTGAAAGATATATATCCTCTATTTAGAGAGCGTGGTATGGTTTGTATCTGAGCCTAGTTTGAGCAGGTATGTTTACCCATGAGGTTAATCATGTGGCTTGTTTTAGGACTCTTTCTTCATCCTCAATTACTAAGAGGCACCAATGGCCAGAAGCAGTATAAGTGTGTGTGTGTGTGTGTGTGTGTGTGTGTATGTATGTATATATATATATATATATATAATTTAATTTGCATATTATCAAGTGGTAATGGTTTGTCATCTTGGGTGGAGAATTCATCATTACAAGGGAGCTGGAACAATTGCTGAGAGCCATTGAACCAAGTTGTCAGCCCTATATGATGGAAACCATTTCTTGCCAAAGGGTGTGGCAGCTCTCCTAGTTCCAGCACCTACACACAGTTATCCAGGCTTTCGTCACTTTTGTGATGTTAGTCATCTGCAGTACTGTAGTTTCTGCTGGTTCAAAACATGACTGTCCACTTACTGAGCAGTATTACCTGTAAATAATACTGCTTCTGATCTCCGTACTGGCTCCCATTTCCTTTCTGGGAACAATGGAAGTTGGTGACTGTAATATGCATTTAGTTTGGGCCGCTGCTACTTTCCAAAATGACACTCCACACTGGCAGTTAATTAGATGTGGTGGCCCTTTTAAAAATTGGATTAGCACTCTTGTCCTGTGTTCTGCTGCCAAGTCTCACATGAGGGCCTTCCTCTCTGGAATTCACCCTTTTCTTTGTCCTGAGACAGCCATGGTTTGCTGACTGATTCTGAGACTCATTAACTTACTCAGGCTTTTTTGCCCACAAAGCTTGTAATGCATAGTGTGAAGCTGGTGTTTTTGGAAGGGTTTGTGTTGTCTGTTGTTGGACAATCTGCTGTGTTATAACTGCCTTGAGACTTGGGAAAGGCTGAATATTAATTT